TAAAGCTGGGTTGCCTCCCAACAAGCGCTTGATTTAACGTCGCGGCACGACGCGAATCACTTTTTGCCTCCACCTCGAGCTTATGAATTGAACCCCCAATTTGGCATCAAGTTTTCGGCTATGCTCCAGGGGTGGAGGAATAAATCTAATTGGCCCAAGGCAACCATTGTACTATTCTACACTTCTTGGCTTTTAGATGAGGTATGTATTTCTATCTTTCTGGCAAGAAAAATTTCAGAATGTAGGCACCTTATTCCTCATTACTTGACTTCTCAATCGGCTCGGATGACTCTATTTCCATNAATGTAGGCACCTTATTCCTCATTCCTTGACTTTTCAATCGGCTCGGATGACTCTATTTCCATATCGTCATTCAAGCACAATGTAGAAAAATGTTTGGAGTGAGGACCAATGCGCTCACACACATGAACTTCAGGACTTTCAGCATCCTCAACATCAATGATACTAGAGTCAACAAAATTTGTATCCTCGATGTCTTTGGCTGACTCTAATCTCACATCTTCAACATTGACATCCTCAAATTATATTTGGCTAGATTGTTGATGTTCTACTCTAACCTCCCCAGTTAACACCTCAAATTCATGCTCTTCTTGGCTACTATCCTCAATATTGGCTTGTTGAGCATTAAAAACTCCAACCACTTGACTCAATTGAGCCTCCAACTTGCGATAGTTTCCTCTTGCCTTTCTATCTGCAATTGTTTTTCATTATTTTGTTTCAGAAGGCACTTTAACATATCATTGATCTCCTTTAGGTCTGCATCCCCAGGTTTTTTATTCCTGTTAATTTCACAAGAAAAGGTATAACCATCATAGTAAGGGGTTGGGGGAAGATAAGAAATATAAGCACAACCATAAAACTGACCATTTTTACCACCACACACATCACACACATTCCACAAATAAGATTGCATTGGTGCATATAACTCGCTCTTAGGAACGTTTTGAAAATTTTGCCACGGGTGGTTTCCTTCACAATATGTATGGAGATCAATAATAGAATTATCTACACCTAAATTCCCATAATTCCAAGATGTCATATTTCGCAAATCAACAGTTAAAAAAAATACAAAAAAAAACAAAAAAAAATTCAAACTTGAACTCTAGCAATATATACAGCTACAACTATATCGTTAGTTACCCGGCAACGGCGCCAAAATTTGATCAAGCCCAACTCTAGTCCTAAAAAGGATAAGCGGTCGCTGCAAATATAATCCGGTCTAAAAGTCCGGAGTCGAATCCCACAGAGAACTAAGGCTTAGCTATATCTGTTTAATATCATTAAAAAGACAAGTTTGAACAATTTTCTAAATTATAAAGATTGAGATTTATATTTCTAACCAATTAACTAGCAAATACTAGAAAACGGTAAAATTATCAACTAACGAGACAAATGGTTGGAAACTAAATTAAGGAGGTTTAGAGTTATGATTTCTGCAATTGTCTGAATCCTTCTATCTATGTTCCCTATAATTTGTCCAATGTATTCTCTACTGATCGTGAGCACTTTAGGTGTCGTAATTCTCTCTCGAGCAACTACAACAATTTACTAGACATATTCTCTCGAACCACGCTAGTTGGCTTTATCTAACCGCTCATTATGACCACGTCAAGGCTTTGTTATTTCTAAACCTGCCTTTAAACCCACTGTATTGATTTCTCACATATGTTAGGAGTGACGTTGTTCAACAACTACCTAAATATGTACTCTCTCACGAGCACTACACACTAAATAGGCACAGTTAATTGATGGTCATTCAATCAACAACAACAAACACGTAGCTGAACAAGTAGAGAAATCTAACGGCTCAATTATATAAAAACATAACAAGAATTTATCCTACAAAAGGTTCTATCAAAACTCTAGATAACACATTAGCTATTCATAATAGTATGTAAAACTACAATACTAAAAGTCATAACCACAATGAAAAAATAGGAAGAGTAAGGAAAAACTCGCAGAAGAATTCTCCACCTTGCTCCTATTGTGTCTCTGCCTCCTTAGGTCGAACTTGTGTTAAAAATTGGTCTCCTCCCCTCCTTAGGTCTAAATTATGTCAAAAGTATGTTTCCTCCCTCAAAAATACTATTTTTCTATGTATATATACCAAGTAGGGTCGAGCTCAAACAATTATACCTTTCTCCTACGCGAAAAAAGACAAGTTTTCAGGCCTAGATGGCCGCGGTCGAGGCGCGGCATGGACGCGGTATTTGGCAAGTATACTGCCTCAACCCGCCTCAGGTCCGCGGTCGCGGTTTCGACCGTATTTGTCACCCTGTTCCATTTGGAATTTGGAAAAACGTAAAACATAAAAATTGTAGCCCTTTGAGTTAGCTTTCCAACCATATATTGTGGAACCAAATGGAGTTCTGAGAAAAAAGTTATGTTCATTTTACTAGACAATGCGCAATATGCCTACTCGATTCTTCGTTTTGTTGCTCTATCATCTGTCGATTCCCGAATACGATTCTGACTTAATTCCTTGGGCTTTTACTCAGACTTCAAAGCTCCAAATCACTTGAATTCATTCTATAATATCTATATAGCTCGGAATCACTCCTACAAGGCATAAAACACACAATTAGTGCAAAACACTAACGATTAAAACGCAAACTCAACTAAAGTGCAGTAAATTTGAGTGTGATAAGCAACTAAAATACGTAATTATAGCATATCATCAACGACTAAGGCTATTTATTGTATATAAATATGATAATTAAAGTTACTTATTCCCGTTCTTCTATAAATTTCGACACCTCTTACAACAGTTCCTGCGTACATCCTATGTCGGACAATTATATTTGTTGTTGAATGTGTGTAGGACTCTTTGGAAAATGACTCTAACACAAGGATTTGAATGATATGACCCACAACCTCCACCCGCACTACGTGTTTAAAAATACTCCAGGCATGGGAGATTGTTCAACTGCAGAGGAGATGAAGCTATTACTATCAAAACATGGGATTTCTTTTGGCCATGTAAAAAAGCCTATGTTGATCATCCAACTAGACTTTGTGTATGTTAAGCATATTTGGTTTTGTTGGACTGATCAAATTTCTCTTTGATTTCTGAATTTGATTTAACATTTTTTGCTAAGCCATTTGAAATACATGAAGGATTGCGTATAGGTGTTCTTAACACGCAGCAGAAGACAATAATAATCCTAGGCAGATCTTTTAAATACGAAAAGATCTGCCTAGAATTGTTATTGTCTTCTGCTGTGTTTTAAGAACACTTATACGCAATCCTTCAATGGTATCATAGCTTAGTTAGTCCTCATGGATTTTTCATAGCTAATCCAATTCATAATTGGATTACTATTTTCCTATAAAAATTTAAATCCAAAAGGGTTGAAGTTGGCGAAGATGTCCTCGTGGACTTTCACGTTAGTTATCCAATTCAAAATTGGATTCTAACTCATAAACCTTTTATATTATTATTATTATTATTATTATTATTATTATTATTATTATTATTATTATATGTATACATATATATATATACTCATATATAAATAGATATTAAAATATATCACATATATATTTAAACCAAGAGATATAATTTAATTTTCTATTTCAAATAGAAAACTTCAATTTATTCACAATATTAATTATATCCGTTGTGCTAGCAAAGAATATAATAATATTTCATTTGGACTAATAACTAAATATATTTGACTAATTAAATTCCTTAATTTAATTATCAAATAATAAGTTAATTAATCTTTTAGCAAAGATCAGAACACTCGTTAGTGTGCAACCCCATAGGTTCAATACTAAACCGGTAGTAAATTGACCACATCAATATACTAATCAAGGGTGGCGTCTAGCAACACTCCTTAACGACCGGATAGCATGAAGTACACCATTTACTCTCAAGAACCAGTAAAAGAATAATGTAGTAATTCCTTCTGTCCTTATAGCTCTGGATCACCCTAGGATATGGTTCAACTGTCAAATCCTAATAGGCGACCAACTATGTGTTCATGTCATATATAATCAACCATTGAATGACCTAAGAAACTCATTTCTTATTTCATTCAATTGCTCTGGCCAAGGTCTTAGTTTGGTCGTTTATAATTCATGACAACATGAAATTTAAACTCATTACCAAGAGTTGACAGATTCCATCTTGATCAATCACTAATTCTACAAGTATTTAATCGTACCCAATATCCTTTCAACTATCGCCCTAGGGCCATAGGTGTCTAGTATCAAAGCACAATAAATAACTTGTCAATTACTATGACGATCTCAGGTCAAAGGAAACTCTTACATCACATTCTTCAAGAGAATATCCTATTGACATTTATGGTAATTCTAACCATTAGGAATTATCCAATGAGTCGGTTCAATGATCATATCTCTATATGCATCATCTATCTATGTGATTTAGTTAATGAGATCAACTAATCTTTATCCAATAAAGACGATCACATAAATATTGATCTAACCGGATTACTAATGTTCAAATTAATAATCCTACGATCAAGAACAAATTTAGATTAAATTATAAGAGACGTTGCTCTCATTATCATGATCTCTATCACGATGACAAATCTCAAAATTTAATCAAAGACCTTATCAAATTAATCAAACAATTAATAATAACTATGATAAAAGAATGCCATATGTTTTTATATCAAATAATGTTCACAAAAATATGTTCAAATCATCAAATATGAGATTGGATCTAGGGCATATCTACTATATCTCTAACAATACATTTGCAGAGTGAAGTTGAAATACTGACCGATGAAAACCGGCATCCATGTTTGATGAAGTTAAAGGGGTTCTATTTTCAATATAAATTTGCAGTTGTTTATGATGAAAAACCAGATAATTATTTGTCGGACGTGCTTCGTTCTGGTATTTGATCAGCTATTTGAAGAAATCCTTCACCTGCTATAGTTTGATGGCTACTAAATTTAGTAACTTTGTGTGTTTTGATTTTGACTTGTCAATTGTTTTTTGGGTAGGCAAAGACTTTGGATGGGATGATAGAATGAAGGTAGCAACTCAACTTGCAAGCCTCTTCACATGGTTGCATGAGAGACAATTTGCATTTAATTTGGTGGTATGGAACCTTCGAGCATAATGATTGACAAGGTAACAACTAATCAGAAGCGGATCCAGGATTTAAAGTTTATGAATTCCTACAGAGACCTCATGTTAATATGCAATAATAATTATGTTTACTATTAGATATTACAGATATTTAGTCAACTTTTTAATACAAATACAGAATTTGAGCAAAAGGTAATAAGTTTACGTGAACCCATAACTTATAAGCTAGGTCCACCCTTGCAGTTGAACCCTATAGACGACCTTCTCATTGATGTTTTACAAGTTACTATTTCATTGACTTGTAGGGGCGTAGGTAGGTGGATGCAAGGGGTTCGATTGAATCCTCTTCGCCTGAAAATTATACTGTGAAGTATGTTAAAATGAAAATTTTCTGTATAATGATAAAAATTGTTACTTCCCCTGGCATTACAAAAGCTTATGGTGTTGCGCCACGGGGGTTTTAAAATTGTTTTAGGTTGCAAGATCAAATCATAGGTGTGACATTCTAGTACTTTTTGAATCCCCTTATATGAATTCCTAGCTCCGGTACTATTTGCAGGACTTCAACATAAAAGTATTGGACTTTGGTTTTCTAGTTCGTGTAAAGGATGAGGATAACGGAGTACTTACCATTCCTTATTTGAATCTCCCTGATGCTCCAGAGGCTTATGAGGGTACTCGAACTTTAAAATCTGATGTTTACGTATTTGGTGTGGGGTTGGTTGCCAATAACAAAAACGTCTATACAGCATATTATTGTTGGATTGTGGACGAGCTCCAACGTGGTAAAAGATGATAGTGGATGAATTACTTCTGCGACGTGATTATAATGGCTATCTCGCTTGTAGAATCACGAAACTAGTAGCAGAATGTCTGAAAGTGGATCCAAATGCACGACCAGATATGATGGATGTCTTTGCCAACTTATCCAGTATGGTAAGAAAACAACTCGAATTAAGGAAGAACGAAATTATTTACCTTTTTAAGCAATTGTGAGACTTTATATGCTCAAAATTAATAGCAGCCCGGTGTAGTAAGCTCCTGCTATGCACGGGCTCCAGGGAAGGGCCGGACCACAAGGGTCGCAGCCTTACCCTGCATTTCTGCAAGAGCTTGTTTCCACGGCTCGAACCCGTGAACTCCTGGTCATATGGTAACAACTTTATAAGTTACGCTTAGCTTCTATGCTCAAACAGTTGCTTAATATGAATATACTAAGTCTTTGGGGTTGTCTTAGACCCCCCAAAGAGTGCTGGTTATAAAGACCAAAGGAGATCTCTTGATGTTTCTGTGTACATTGAATTTTTTTGCCTGAATTATGTATCTGCACTTATTAGTTGTTCTCTGACAATTCTTTTTGGATACAGATATCTGATATTCCACGCGGACAGCGTCAAGTTATGCATCATTCGGACAATATTCGCAATGTTCTTGGAATACCTCTCATCTTAACATTAGTAGTCGGTGGCCTGGGAATCCTTTTGTTTAAGAGCCTGCAACACTGAAACTGATTCTTTATCCAAACATTTTCTGTGTAGAGATTGTTCAATTTGTTTGTATGTATATGATTAAGTGCGTATTATCTTCGCATGATTATTAGTTTGTAATGTATTACTTATTGATGGCAGGGGCGTACGCAGAATTTTTTGTAAGTGGTGTCGAAATTTAGAGAGGCGTACAAATGAAGAGATTACTTTAATAAAATCACTAGTATTAGTGTCCACGCAGATGTCAATAACTTAGTCCACGCAGATGTCAAATATTTAAGTTATTTGGATTGTATGTAAATAATCTTAAAATTTACACTTTCTCAGTAAATATAGATAATCATTGGACGTTAACTCCATGAAAACAATTAACCATTTCTTCTATTTTTCTTTTTTGATACCATTCTTGCCGGTGTCATTGGATCCTAAAAATAGTCAGGAAGTAAAATAATAACTCATATTTATAGCAAAACAATCAAATGTTGAGACAATGAATGACTCTTTAGATAAGACTTAATTCTTTTACTACTATTTGAACTCTTATTTGGTGTGTTGATATCTCTTAAAAATATTTCTTTCTTAAAATTTCAGTTTCTAAAACATTATTGTTATAATAATGTATTTGAAATTTTTTTTTTTTAATTCAAAACTCATTTTAGTTGGCTATCTAAAAATATAAAAAAATCTTTAGCTAATGAATTTTTTTTTTACTCTATTTTGATATTTGATATTAACCATGTTAAATATCTGAGTTATTTGAATTATATGTAAATAACATTAACATTTAAACCTTCTAAATAATTATAGATAATTGTCAGATATTAATTAAGAAACACTACATGGAAAAAGACTAACATTTTTTCAATTCTCGTACTGATACTTTTATTTTTGTACTATTCTTATAGGTGTCATTGGAACCTAAAAATAGCCACAAAGTGAAATAATAATTCATATGTATGGCAAAGCACAAAGGTTGACACGATACAAACGATTCTTTGATTACGACGTGGCTCTTATACTACGACTTGAACTCTTACTTGGTATGATTTTATCTTTCAAAAAATATTTCTATTTTGAAATTTCAATTTCTAAAACTTTATATATATTATTATTATTATTATTTTTATAATGATGCAAGTGAAGATATTATCCTTAATTTAAAATTCACTTTAATTGGCTATCTAAAAATTTAAATGATTCTTTGCCGGATTTATTTCAGTATGACTCCACTTTAAGTTTATCGATATCTCTAGCCCAAAATTTGAATTTTTAATACCCTATATATACAAAATTTTGTTCTTTGAATCATTAAATGTTAAATTAGTTGATTATTATTATAAAACATTGCATATATTGCATTAAAATTGTCAAGCAGTTTATTTTTTGACATCATACTTGGCTTAACCTCAATGCAAACTACTCAAATTGCATACCAATTCAAATTCGAATATCATATCAATTTGTTAGTAATAGTGATTTTTTAAAAACGACCCATAATGTAAATTAAAAAAAATATTCTAAGATATCCTTATTTTATAATCTATGTATTTGAGTTGAAAAAATATATATTTGAAATCGATGAGATTAACTTTCAAACTTTTTATACTCAACAAAAATGAAACATAAGAAGAAATTTGTTGTCATCTTTTATTTCTTGTTTTTAGATTTTTCTAACATTTTTTCAATATATATTTTTTTTTATCTTATTTTTTATGTCATTATTTCTTTTGTTACAAAAAAATAATTTATTTTACTATAAAAGGATGAGTTTTAATAAAAATTGTCTACATATGAACTTTAATTATATTTTTAGTCTTTGGTTGAAATTATTTCATATTTTTCTTTTGGCCTTATCTAATCAGCCTAAATAGGTGCTCACCCGACTACTTAAATTAAAAAATTGAATGATGTATCATTTATATATAATCCATATATAATATATGTATAATCGTGTGTTATCGGTATATCATCTATTTATATTAGATATAAAAAGTAAATAATAAATATGACTGGATATTATGTAAATATTCCATAAGATTTTGGTTTTTTGAGTTTATCCATTATATAATTTTTATTATAAAAATTTAAAAACTCTCTACTAATGTTCAAAAAGTATCTTATCTTTTTATTATCTTTGAATTAAAAGAAATAAAGAATTTTTTCGAAAAAATTTCTTTACATTTTAAAAAAAAAATATTTCACGTCATTCCAATTTTTTCTTTATATATACTCTTTGTTACACTTAAAAGTTGCTATAGAAACTATCAAATAGAAAATCAATTTATCTCTTGTTGAGTTTGAAAAAAAAAACCTTTCACATAATCTAATGATTCAAAACTATTATTATTCAACGAAAAAAATATTATACCCTTGCAATATTGGCTTGACTACAGCTAAATGAAAGGTTTCCGCTTATACCCTTCAATTTCTTGAATGTGCTAAATTGAAATTAATGATAGCAATTGTATAGCCAAAGTTTTGTTATTTGTTTGATGTCCATTTATGCAAATTGACTCTTCAAACAAATATTCTTCTAGAAGAAAAAAGAAATAATTTTTTTTTAATATTGACTGATTTTGTGATGTTTTTTCTCTAACATGTATGTTTACTTTATTATATATGTAAGTAAACTTTTATTTGATTTTGTAAACTCTTTTTTGTTATTTAGATAAACATAGACGTGTAGGCTATATATTACATTTATTTTAAAAGAATTTTATTTTATTCAATTCTAGCTATAGTGTTTCAAAGAACTATACTTATTGGATTTTAAATGTGAAAGAGTTTTATAGTTATATGGAGTAGTTTTTTTTTAGAGGCGAAGTAGTATTTAAATAATTAGAAAAAATAACAAAAGTTCCTAACATGATTGCATATGATCATTAAGCGAATTAAGTATGATAACATGATAAGAAAAGATAAATTTTATTTTTAATTTAAATTCGAATTTTAGAACTTTATCTATAATTCAAAATTATCTTTTAATTATATATATATATATATATATATATATATATATATACACACACACACACACACATTTGTATTTAACTAAAATAGTCAAATATAGAATAAAGTTACCATATACTATTGACATTTATT